AAATTCATGGCAGTTAATATAGTTATAATCTGCCTTCTGAGATAATATTGAACTAATATTTAATATCAGTTAAATTATTAGTTAATAATATTTAATATTAGTTTAATATTAGCAATAATATTTATTAGAATTTAACACAATACTTTAATAACACTGAATTGGTATTTTACAATGCACCTATATCAATAAACACCCATATGAATAAAGTTATGTGAGTTGATCAAATAGTAAATTTCAAACACCCCTTAAGTAATAAGTATTTTAAAAATTGCATAAAAATGTTATATTAAGCTCAATTTGTACTAGTGAAAAATAGGTAAATAAATTCGATAAGAAATATGATCACTATATAAAAAAAGTGAAAATTTAAATTTCAAAGTATTTTATGAAATAAAATTTATTCTCTTTAATTATGCGTGAAGAAATCACTATGGAATAAAAATTTACTTGGATTTGAAAACCATATTATTGCTGTATTTACGGCAGCATATTTTCTTACCTCTCTCTCTTTTTTGCTACCTTCGTCATAAACTCAAAATCAAACTTTGTAAGTAAAAATCTCGAAAGTTAAGTAAACTTTCCTACAGTAATGGCTATTATATTTAAAACAAAAAAATATGGAAAAAATCATCTAATAAAAATAGAAAATGCAATAAATTTCAAACAAATTGATATTTTGTGAAAAGAAACTCACTGCCTATTTTATCAATAAAACTTGTTTTTAGCAATCCTGTCTTTAACTCTGTAATTGTATTTTTCTAAGTCGCAGATCTAACCGAATGGTTCACTAAAAGTAACAGTTCTTGAACTAATTATCAAATGTTAAAGGATTAGTTAATTGTAACATCTGTTGCTGTGTCGCATGTAGTAGCAGATTATGACTTTCACCAAATACTTTCAATGTTGAACTTCAATATCTTTAACTTAAACTATAATAGGGAAAAAATTTGATGCAAGGTTTTAAATTGGTTTTGAATTAAATGAAGTACGATAATATGCCTTAACTTAGAGGCATATTAAAGTTGCGGGAAATTTGAACAATACTATTTGAACAATATTATGGTTCAGCATGCTCCGAAATTTTAAACTATATATTAATCTGTATATAATAAGTTAAAAAAAAATTATCAAAATTCCTTCATTTATGTTCGAGCTTAGAACAACACAAACAAGTGCGATTTTAAATGTAATTTTTAATTAAAATATTTTTCTTCAGGAAGTAATCTCTAAGAAAAATTTTTGGAAATTAACTTCGTTACCAGCTTAAGACTTATCCAATTCTCTTGAGTTGAAATCATCCGTATTTAAATTTTACAAAGTAAATGCCTTTCATTAGATACATTTTAATTTAGGAAATTTTAAGGGTAAAGAGATTAATATTCTATGAAAGTTTTTCTTATTGGTTTTTTAGTTTTTAGATACTTAGAAAGTCCAGTTTCTTTCTTATTTTACTTTACAATATGACGTGGTAAATTGTTTCCAATTTTTTTAAAAGAAATATTATTGTATATTTTTCAAAGTACAAATTATTATTCACTTTTTCTTCTTTAAGAACTTTTTCAATGGTATCAATTTGTTCCTTGAAAAAAAAAGACTTTTTTCAAGTTATTTCATGAAATTGAGACTGCCATTATACAAATAGAATGGATAAAAATAGAAAAAATGAACTGCACGTAAGAAATTATTAAAAAATTAATCTACCGAAAGTCTTTTATGTTTTTTTATACGTAAAGAGGCTTATTTTTTAAAAATTGAAACATTTATTTCGTTAAAAAAATGAGCCTAAAAACACATTTATAAACTACTTTTTTATATTTAACCTCTTAGAATTTCATTACTTAACTGTTTGTACCCTTAATATTATTAAAATCTATATTTGCCTAGCATCCGTTTTAAAAAAGTGATTCCTTCTTTTTCAAAAGAAAAAAAAGTAGCAACACATGCTTCGTAATTAGGAATTATTTAAAAAAAGTGTTTTTTTTTTTATGCACCATAACATAAAAATGATAGAATTGTTTATATTTGAATGAAAAATTTTCGGTCTTTTCTGAAGATAAAGTGGAAGATAACGGGAAGAATTATTTACTAGTTTTAAATAAATATGGTCCACCATTTTTTCATGTACGTATTTTTCAGATATTGATCACATATAGTGGCTGGAAATTAATGGATTAAGCAGAAAACGCGAAGTTTTAATCATAATAATGCTTATGTAATACATTGATGCAATTTTGATGAATTTATTATGTAATAAAAAGTACCACATTATAAATTGGAAATAATTGATGTAATAAAATTTGTTTTATTAGTGGAAGCTTAAAAGTGGAATGATAATTAAAATTTTATGAAGTTGTTTTAACTTAGTTAATGTTTATATCACAAGTAATGGAAAAAAACATTTTTAGATTTTCATAATATTGTCATCTTACAAAAATTCCTTTGTTAGTTTAAATAATTATTGTTATTAAACAAATACATTGTTTTTTTTTTCGGAAACGAATATGGTTCATTTTGCATAGAGGAAAATAAATTTGGGGAAAACTACTAGAATGTGGTAAAATTTGTAATATTTCTTGTTCCATCAGAATAACAAAAAGCTAGGTAATTTTTACCGAAGCGCTGAGGTGATGATTTTGGTAAAATTAACAGTAAAGTATAGTTTTATAAAACGCGATAAAATTTGGTGAATTCTATAAAATTTTGTTAATTTTATCATGATACTTTAAAGCATGGCACAAAACCCATTTCTTTGGCTAAATTTATTTTTTAGCATTGTATATTTTACCACATTAGTGTAATTTTGAAAACCAGAACCAGTAAATAATTTGAATATAAAGCTACTATTTGCACAAATAATGTATTAACCCCTTCCTTTTCGCTCCTGTAAAATGACGGGGCGAGGTTTTGCTCGCTATTTCTTGCTCCCGTGATATTGACGGACTGGAGTGTTTAGTAGTAATGTGCCAATAAGAACAAAACTAATTCATTTCTTCTGCCCAGAAAATATTTTATTTCACATTTTACGCACCATATAGCAGTACCAGGATATTTTTAATGTAACTGTAAATAGTTAGTTTATTATGAACTAAATACTAGCACTAATCAAATACGTGTATTTGGCAAAATAGACACCTTTATGACCGTTTTCTTGAAAATTAACCGATCGTTAAGGGGTTAAAAATAGAATAGTGGTACAAAAATTAGGTATTTAGGAAAGTGCTTGAAAGTTTTGGCTTACAGTATATTTAACTTTTTTTTTAACTCTCATAGTGTTTTTTCCTGTTAATCAAATATAATAATATTAAAATGTTTTAAAAATAATTTATAAAATTATTATACTTTGTATCGAAAGAAATTGAAGCAATATATGCGACTTACAAAATATATAAAATATTTCACTTTTTAAAAACTATTTAGTTATAAATGATGAAATAAGTCACTATTTCTTGGGAATTACTTTATTGTTGTGATTATTTTAAAAAGCAAAATGCCTTTTTATAAATTTTTACTGCGCAAGAACTCTTCAAAGATTTGTTTCAGAATTTACATTTTAAAATCTGTTTTACGGTTTGATATGTTTGAGAACTATTAAAATATCTATTGAAAATTAATTCAAGAAATAGCTTTTGTAGAAACTTGCTTAAGGACATAATGTTTTTACAACCGTAATTAGAAAGTTTACTACGTTGCCCATAACTTAACCTATTTCATACTTAGCAACTTAGCAAGTTCGGGTCTTTTCACTTGTGAATAGTTGAAGCTTTTAATTTACTTACAATAAAACAATTTCCACTTTTCATAGAGATCGTATTGCTCAGTCAAATTTTTTTCTGTATTGAAGCTAAACTATACATAGTTGCATAAAGATAAATGCAGGGTTAGAATAAATGATTTGTCCAGCTTCAAATAACTTTTTATATTGTAAGTACACAAGGTGCAAAGACGAGTGATGCATGGAGGAAAGACGCATACGTTCACCTAGTTTTTAATATAATACTTTGGTTCTGGTACAATGTCCAATTACAAATGTTCAATATTTGCTGCCTTGGTCACCAGGTGCTCGCCCTGATGGTAAACCACTTCCTTATACAATAACAATTTTCTATAAATGCGCATAATAGAAAAAGTGTTGTGCTTCTGCAAGTTTCTAATACAATATTTCGGTTCTCGGACAATGTCTAATTACAAGTGTTCCATGTTTGCAGCCTTGGTCTCCCAGCGCACACCCTGAAATATAAAACTGTTCCTTATACACATCTAATACCACTTTTCTATAAATGTCCGTAACAGAAATGTCTAATTACAAATTTTTAATGTTTGCTGCCTTGGTCATCCAGTACGCACCATAATGGTAAAGCACTTCCCTATATACGTTCCCTAAGAAGTTTCTATCAATGTCCGTAACAGCAACAGTTTTGGGCATCTGCGGAGTAATTGATATTGGATGTTTAAAACTTTTATGTCCCCTAAATGTCAAAAAAACAATTCAGGAACACCTTACTTCTGCTGTGATGTTATTGAACAATTAACCTCTGCTGTGATGCTATTAATTTGACTTACAGTATTATCCGCGTCTGCTGATCAAGGACAATTGAAGTCGATGAAGAATTTAAAACTTGGTTCATGTACTCATCTTTCCGTATTGTTTAAGATTTTAAGTCATTAACGTATGTATATTTGACAGAAGCGCCAGCTTTAATTTTCTTTAGATTTATTTGTTTTAAAATTTCACTTTAGGTTGCGTGGCAACCTGAGATAGTTTTTGTTGTTGTTCTTTTTTGCTGCAATTTAGAATTATATTTTTTAGAATCCGTTTTTGGTGCTAAATTATTAGTTATTAAAAGATTAAAGATTTATATTTGTTGTCATTTATCTGTAGAACTTGTAGTTCATTTGATTGATTTTATTTAAAAGGCGTCTGCATTATTTATTTTAACTTATTAGCGACATTTTGTGGCGTCCGCGACAGGACGGTTGATACGCTACTTCTGATTTAAAAAATGTTTTTAGCATCAAAAGGATTTAAAAGGGAAGATCTTATTATTGTTGCCCAAGAAATTGGCGAAGTATTACCTCAAAAAGCTATTGTAGCGGACCTGAAGACAATCATTTTGAAAAGTAAAGAATATTTATCTGATCCAGATTTTGTAACAAGTGTGTTGGTAGCTACAGTCAATGATCGACGACAAAAGGAGGAATATGAAGAAAAATTGAGACAAAGAGAATATGAAGAGAGACAAAGAGAATATGAAGAGAGACAAAGAGAATATGAAGAGAGACAAAGTATAAGAAAACATGAACTGGAGTAGGCGAGACTTCAAGCTACATCGCATAGAACCGGTGAGTCTCCGCTAAATATTATTAGTGCCAGTGCCAGAAAGCAGTTTAATTTGCCAAAATTAGAACTTAGGCAATTTAGTGGAGATTTAAAAGATTGGCTACCATTTTGGGGACAATTTGAACAAATTAATAACGATACAGATATTGCCCCTGAAAACAAATTTCAATACCTGATTCAAGCTACAACTGTTGGATCTAGAGCTAGAGAAGTTGTAGAAAGCCTTCCTCCAGCAGCTGCAAACTATACCAAAGCAGTAGATAGCCTCAAAGCCCGATTTGGCAAGGATGACCTTTTGGTCGAAGTTTATGTTAAGGAATTGTTGAAGCTCATAGTTTCCGTTCAAAAGCACGAAAAGATATCTATGACGTCCCCTTATGACAAACTAGAGTCATATCTTCGAGCTTTAGAAAAGTTAGGTGTTACGACAGAGAAATGCGCTTCAATACTATTCCCTATGGTAGAATCTTGTGTCCAAGAAGAGTTTCTAAAAGCCTGGAACCGAAGCTCTTCGCCCGTTGCCTCAGTTGACGCCAAAGAGCGATTAACAAACATCATGGCTTTTCTGAAGGCAGAAACGGAAGGTGAAGAAAGAATTAATTTGGCCATGTCAGGTTTTGGCTTGGGATCTGATGAAAAACGCCAACCCTTTAAAAAGAAAGCAAGAGATTTGCCAACAAAAAGATTTCCAACAGCGGCAAATCTATTGACTACAGATGTAAAAGATTTGAAGAAAGGGTGTGTGTTTTGTTCAGGGAAACATAAAAGTTCAGATTGCTTTTCCACTCAAAATATGACTTTAGCTGAAAGAAAGAACATAGTAAGAGAAAGTCAGTGTTGTTTTGCCTGTTTAATGCAAGGACATCCAGTTCGTAAGTGCAAAGCTTTTATGAAATGTGTCATATGCGGTAAAAGACATGTGGTATTAATGTGTGAATCTTTAGCTGCAAAAAATCGTGAACCCGATAAATCTGGGCAGAAAAGTGAAAGTTCAGAAATAAACATGTCAAACATCACGTACGGTCCGAAAGTGTTCCTTCAAACTATGAAACTAAAGCTGATATCTGATAGAAAAGAAATTGTGGTGAGAGCAGTTTTAGATTCTGGATCACAGAGAACATAGATTTTAAAACATTTGGCTGAAAAGATGGAATATGTTCCCTTGAGAAAAGAAACTCTCATACACTCTTTGTTTGGTGGTCATAAATCAGATAAATTTGAGCACACGTGTTGTAGAATTAGATTAAGGAATCCAGAGAATAACTTGACTTGTAACATGGAAGCTTCAGATCAAGCATCTATTTGTGATACTATAACACTTGTTAGCTTAGAACCCTGGTTTAAAGAGCTTGAAGAAATGAATATAAAGTTGTCAGACGTCGGAAATGAGTCATAACCAGTTCAAATTCTGCTTGGAGCTGACGTAATAGGAAAACTTATGACTGGAAAAAGAAGAGTTTTGGCCCGTGGATTAGTAGCAATAGAGACACTACTGGGATGGACTTTAACAGGGAAAGCACCTGAATATGATTTACCGTCAATCAACGCAATGTTGATTACTTACCTTTTAGTAAAAGAAATGGATATTTCTGAGCTGTGGAGATTAGATTCTTTAGGAATAAAAGATCCTTCAGAACAAAAATCTAGAGAGGAACTGCAAGAAGCCTCAATGGAACATTTCTTAAATACAGTGAAAGTTGAAGGAGATGGCCGTTTTATAGTTAGTCTGCCATGGCTTGATGGGCATTTGCCTTTGCCAGATAATTATGATTTGGCGTTAAAGAGATTGCAAATGAAAACACGCAAGTTGAAAACCGACAAATTGTATGATGCCTATGAAGAAGTGTTCAAGGACTGGGAGAAAGAGGAAATAATTGAAGAGGTTCCAAAAGAAGACATGGAAATACCTTGTCACTACTTACCTCATCGACCTGTGATAAAGGAGAGCAGCACAACTAAAATCAGGCCCGTGTTCAATGCTTCTTCTAAGATAAAAGGAGTTCCTATTTTAAATGATTGTGTAGAAAAAGGGTTAAATTTGATAGAAGTAATTCCCTCAATGATAAATAAGATCATTGAGGGAATTACTTCTATCAATGAATGAAGATATCAATTCTATTCAATGAAGATATCGATTTGGTGTAACAGCTGATATACGTAAGGCTTTTTTGCTAATAAGTCTTTATGAAAATGATAGAAATTTCTTGCGATTCTTATGGTATGGAGAAGATGGACAGCTGAAACATTTTCGTCATCGAAGAGTTGTGTTTGGCGTTTCTTGTAGTTCGTTTTTGCTAGGAGCCACTATTCAATACCATTTAAATAATAAACTAGAAGAAGCAATGGGAGGGAATGAAAAATACCCGAAGGAGATTATACAGGAACTAATATGCAGTCTTTATGTAGATAATTGCCTCACAAGCGTGAAAACTGAATTAGAGCTGAAACAATTCACAGTAGTTGCTACTAATATTATGGCTGAAAGACAATTTCATTTACGAGGGTGGGAGTCTACTAACCCATCAGAACCTAATTCTAGTGGGACCAATATTCTGGAATGAAGTGGAATAGACAAAGTGATACTCTGTTAATTAATATTCCTGATATGAAAGACATAAAACATGAAAAAATCACTAAAAGAAGCATTTTAGCTGCTTCACACAGAGTTTTTGATCCTATGGGGATAACTAGCCCAATATCGCTACGACCAAAATTATGGTTACAAAATTTGTGGAAAGCTAAAATTGGTTGTGACGATGAAGTTGACACAAAAACACGAGAAGATTTTACAAAGTGGCTAAGTCAGCTTGAATATCTAAAGCACATAGAAATCCCAAGGTGGTTACATTGTGACAAAGGTTACGAGCGCATTTCATTACATTTATTTTGTGATGCCAGTAAATTTGCGTATTTCACAGTAGTTTTCCTGAGAATAGAAGATGAAAGCAATGTTCAAGTTCACCTGATACAGAGTAAAGCAAGAATCGCACCTAGCGGGAAAAAGTAAACAACGATTGCTCGACTTGAACTTCTTGGTGCCACAATTGCAGCTCGTCCATCTATTGAAATAGTAAAACAGTTTCAGACGGACAAAGTTCATTTCTGGACAGACTCAACAACTGTATTAGCTTGGCTTAACTCTTTAAAGACCAAGTGGCCTGAAGAAGTCCGGACTACTTAACGACCGTCTGGGGTCAGTGGGGAACTCTGAAGGGTGAATGGGTAGTAGTGATTGGGAGGGGGTGAGCTGCTTGACAGTGATGCATAGGAACTCATTGACAGTCAAAAGGAAAGAGGTGTGCGAACTTCAGGCTTTATTTAGAAACATTTCCTCCTGTGGTTTTAGAGAAACACAAAATCCTCTTAATTTGTAACAGATTTGTTGAGATGGACCTTTTCATTTATTTATCAAAAATTCGGGAATGGCGGGCTTTTGGGAATTTATTTTTGAAATCCCCGCGTCCACTAAAACAAATATCTTTTTAATAAAATTGTAATGTGTTAACTGTTGACTACCAAACGCAAATTTGTTATATAATTAAAAGTGCACCATCATAAATACCGAAATTACTGAAAAAAATTTGGATAAAGCCAACGTTGTATAATGCTTTCTGTTAATCACTGATGTTTTAATGATAACTTTATCATTAGTTCATAGAAATTTTGATTCTTGAATAAAAAATAAAAAAAGATTAATATTTCTATCATTTAATAAACTTTTAATAGGTTTTTCTTTTTAAATATTTTATTTATTTCCGTTTTGTTCTCTATTATGCTGTTTGGTGTTTCTCAGTAATCAATTTTATTACAGTGTGCTTTTTATTAGTGAATTTTAGAGAATAGATAAAATAATTTAAAATACATTATATTAATAATGTATCTTTTAAACTTGAACGAGGAAAGTTGTTTTAGACTTTGTTTTACTGCAGCGAAAAAAATTTTAAATCTTAAAATTCCTATAAAAATTTCCATTTTATGCTCAATTAAGGAAAACTGAATTCAATTCTATCTAAATTTATGATTAACGTAATATAATGCATACATTAAAATGCCTTTTTATATAATTTTAAATACTATACAAATATTTAAAAAAAATAATTAATTTTTTCTTTTTTTTTTTCAATTTCGTTTTATTCTATTATATTTGCATCGTTGTGTTGTAGTAATTTCGTTCTTTTTGGTATTGATTTCCTATTACTTTCGAGTCTTAAATTTCAGTGATTTTATACTTAAAATGCTTTCAAAATAAAATGAATTATTTATTAAGGATAATAAATTATATAAAATTATTGTTTACAGGAAATTACTTTCATGTAAGGGAATTTTTTAAATGTTATCTCACTTTTATGTAAG